TTATGGAAATCTCGTCATCCTCAACTTGGGTGAACGGTGACTTTGAACACTATGTCTTACTTCAGCAATCTGCGAAACGCTCTTTTCTCTGAAGTCGCTCGTCTTCATTATTGTCAAAGGTCCTTTGATCCTTTCGAATCTATCCAACCAAACATCAACGCTGCTGCCGTAATCAGAGCGATAGAGTGGTACGCCTGCGAACTGCACCAGCATCCATTTCAATATTTTTACTTCTGGCATCTCGAAACTGCAGAATAATGTACGTATCCCTTGAGTGAACAGATCAAGAGAATATTCGCAAAGGAATGTTGTTTTGCCGAACCCCGTGCCTCCCGTCAGCACAGTGAGTTCTCTGGGTCGAAGACCTTGGAGGTACTTGTTGAGTGGAGCAAACCGCTTCCACTGTGCAAGACCGTTTTGACGAACACTAGAGTAGACCAAGTCGGATTTGACTTCATCGCGGATATCACTTGCACTTATAAATCCTCTTTCACGCAGTCGTGCTGCTCCGTGTGCAATGATACCTCTGACATCTTTGTGTCCTCCATTACGCACTAGTTCTATGGGCCTTTCGGAAGAGGTTATGAGCCTGCATCGGACGTCGTCCAGCCTGTAGCCCCATTCTCTAGCGAAATCCTGATGTTGCGGAGGAAACCACAGAAAAATTTGTTCAAATCTTGCGAGATAAGGGAGGATTTGAAGATCAACTTGGCGACCATGAGGTAAGGAGAACGTCAATACTCCTCCAGTGGCATCGTAAACGGCAAGAGCATCGCGTTCATTAGTAGTCAACACTACGCGTCGATCCATAGAGGTTGTCAAATGATAGCCAAAGAAGCCGCAGAACTGACTTGCTTCATTCGGATAAACTTCTTTTTTGAGAACATCATCCAATTTTCGTATCACTTTCACTCCAACAGGAAATGCATCCGAAAACGTGTAACTGCCATACCTTGGGTAAAGGATCGACGCTCGATTCCGCTTATCCACGCAACCGCGGATGTTGAAGCGAGATAATGTTTCAGATGAGATTCGATCGATACCAAGAATACTGAGAAGGAATTTCATATCATTCTGCTCCAAAGCCAGATCGTTGATATCCAAACTGTTTTGCCATAGACTTTGGACTACAGGATCAACTGGAAACTTCGCGCATTTCTTCATATTTGGATGGTCGATTTCTCTATCATAAAGTCCTTTATCTGGCGTTTTATTTTCATTTAAGAACGATTTGAAATTTGTCCGGTCGTACAGATCAGGATCAGCGTCTTCTGGGTGTTCCATGAAAAAGAGCCTCTTCGCTTCAGACAGTTTCTGTTCTGTTGTTCGCTTGTCTGCGAAAGATGCTACTATGCTGGCTTTTGACAAAAACTCTTCCAAAGTTGTCAGCTCGTGACAAACCACACATCTCACAGAATTGTCGCTGCCGGAAATGAAACAAGAATGTTTTGATTCGCAATACACGCAGTCCGTACGAAGAAAATCTCCATGAGCTACTTTTTCAAATGGAATTCGATGTTTTTTGAGTTCTTCTGCGACTTCTGATCTTGTCAAAGGAAGACAGTGTGACTGCTCTGCTGCGGCTATGACCTGTGTCAGAGTGCGAGGCTGCTCTCCTTTAGAGGTAGAAGCTCCATCCGAGCAGGAATGGTTGTTGCTGCTGCAGTAGGGCTTTGTTGTGGACAATACTATCCCTTTCACCGTGACTAGACGTCTTCGAGAAATTCGTGCTCGTCTGCATCCAATTTTCAGCAGTGATCCAACGTTCTTCATTGATCTAAAAAGGCGACATAATTGCATGGTCAACCATCAAATTTCCCGCTCAAGGTACTGCGCTTGCGGTGCCAAGACTGAGTGACCAAATTTGCATGTTAACAAATAAGCAAGTCGGCAGCGCTGCCGGCATTTTGCTCGCGATCAGCGTTATAAGCGTAGCTATTTGTTCACGCGTACTTGATCGCCCAATCTCGACACCAAGCACTATCAGCACTGGACTGTAATTGTAATCTACGCAACATAAACTTAGACTAACATATACATTCACGCTGATCATAGTCGCGACAGATTAATCCATCAATTCAAATCTCTGTCAAAATTTTATTACACATGGATTA